ATTTTTTATTTGTCTTCCTCTGTGAGGTTAACAGTGGAAAAAGGAGTCTCTTTTGGTAAGAGTTTGAGATTTTGATGAGTGTCAGAATGTGTTGCGCAGAACGTGACAACTGCTTTCCAGCACTGAATAGTAAATACAGGTGTCTCCTTCAGGAGTGCAAAGACAAACAGAGGAGATACTGTGAAGTAAAGCTAAACCTATCCCTAAGTGACTTCATGTTACTTGTGTCACTGTTGTCTTCTGAAGAACCACTTTCGATCATCGTGGGAAACAGATATGTGGTTGTGAGTGAGAATTCATGTCCTTGTGGTTCAAGATCCCCCTGCCTGATGTGGCACAGGGAGAATGCCCAGGACTTACACCTTTACAGTAGATCTAAAGCAGGCGTAGGCGTTTAGTGCTGTTTGACGTGCCTTGCAGTAGCCACGCTAACCTCAGGAAGCACACAAGCCTGACATAAGACTCACAAGAGATCTGTGCCCTTCTGGAATGTCAGCTGGAGGCCAGACTGGATACCCAGGACTGTCTAAACTGGTTTTAGATGACTCTGCTTAGGCAACTGAATCCTGTCCTTTGTGTCAGGACAAACAGATTCAGGCTCTATGGAACGCCTGATGCGTAAAGTATAAAGTGCTCACTAAGTGATGTGGGGCATTGGCTTGAAGTATGGATTAAAAGGATCAGCTAACCTGATGCGTCTGTAGTGCTTGCGGCTTCATTTTCATGCTTGGCAGAAATTGTTGTAGGCTGCACCAGCTCATCTGGAATTGAGATAACAACTCAGTCCCAGATGTTCCAAGTAATTGATGCAGCCTATATTTGTAAATCACTGAAGGGAGACTTGGCAGTCCTACTCTGGGTAGGCACAGGGTGTGGGAGCGACTTGGGAAATGTAAGGAGTTCGTAGACTTGTCACCATTTTGCCCGGGCAGGGTTGTGCAATCATGTCTTTACAAATGATTTGTGGTGTGGAAGAGGAACTGTTCACAGTAGTTGAGAACATTTAGTGTCTGTAAGCAGTTACTTGACAGGAGAATGGGTGAAATTCAAAGTTGAGAAGCAATGTTACTAGTTCTTTGGTTTGACTGTTGTCAATCTGCCATAAAAGGCTCCAAGTTGATATTTACAACCTGAGTAGTGTTAGATGTGCCAGATTTTGGTGCTGATATTGTACTGAGATTTGCCTTCAGGGCTTTAGTTCTGCGTTACTGCAGGGGATTCAGAGTTTTTCCACCCTTCAGTGTTATACTTGAGCATCTGCTTCAAGATCAGTTGACTTCTGATTGATTGCTTCTAAATAGCACAAGTAGACTATAGGTCTTCTGTTTCTTCAGCCATGTAGATGATACTGTTTCTTCTGCTATTGACTGTGACTTACAAAATGTTATATATTTAATGTCACAGTAATTCTATGAATCTTATCAGTGAAGGCAAAGGCTTGAGTTGGAGTAACAATAAATATATTTTAATTTTCTTTGAAAATAAAATTTTTTTCTCTATAGATAGGAAAAGTTTTTAGAGTCTCCTTTGTCCCTGTATATATCTGTAATTACACATACACATGGGGGCCGGTTAGCTCAGTGGTTTGAGCACGGTGCTGGCAACAAGGACCAACACTAAGGTCGCGGGTTCAATTCCCGCTCGGTCTCCATGTGTTGCCAGGTCTAGTCGAGAGGTGGCGTCCCTGCCCAAAACAGGGAGGTTGGACTAGATGACCTCTAAGGTCCCTTCCAGCCTAGGCCATTCTATGATTCTGTGATACTGCTCTGTAGCCCAATCTTAGTAAATATGTTTTTTTAGAAGTTGCTAGCATTGAGAGTGCTAGAATGTTCTTTGAGTATCAAGCTTGGTTGTAAATGCTTATCCTTGGATATCCCTGAATATGTTAAAAACCCAGACGCTACGTATTTGTAATCTGTCCCCCAAGAGCAATGCCACAAGAACAACGGTGCCATGTATCTTAGAGTTATTTTTTAATACAGATTACATGTTTTTTCTTAAGAATTTTAGTATTTAGACCTGTCGGAGTTTGGAGTTTTGGTCTGTGCTGTGTCTAGATTTAATCTTATGAGTTCACTTGTTGTGGCGTGGATTTCTTCTATTAGAAGACAAGACTTCTAGTGGTTGGAAGGGGAATCTTGTCTTTATAGTTTTCTCACTGTAAGAAGAACCTTGTCTTGAATTTTCATGTTTCTGCTTTGAAGTTCTTCATCTGGAAGAGAACTTAATCTAGAGAATATTTGCTGCTTTCCCACGTTTCTTCAGGAACTTTTTGGCAGTGTTAGATTCCAAGCTCTTCTCCGAGCTGTTCTTGCCTCCAAACCTCTTCTTATCCATTGTGGTTTAGAATTAAGATACCGAGTATGAGACCAGTCTTGTGGTATTTAACTTCAGTATCTCTTAGTAGTTGTGTTTTTCGTTTAAGGTGTTCTGTACATTGCTAGCAATTTGTACAACTTATCTTTGCTTTTAGTAGCTTAGAACTTTGTTGTAAAATGCTGTTTGGATTGTGCTTTTTCTGCGGTCAGGTGCATTTGCATACATAAAATCTGATACGCTGGAAGCGTTTAACCTTTAAAATTACCTAGAGTGAAAATTATCTAGCCGTTCTAGAATGATAAAAATATTTGTATCCTTTAGATAATTTCTTTCGAAATATCACTTATTTGTAGGTTTTTATGACTTCTGTTTGTAGGAACTAATTTTATTTGCAGACTGCGTGAAATCAACACTACAATCGTCGAACCTCTGGTTTCTTTAAAATGTGGTACAAAATTTTCCTATTCGTGTCTGTTTAATAACAAATGCAAAACCTCACAGCAAAAGAAACTCAGGTGTGTTACCACTTTAGCCTTAAAAGAATTTAAAGAAGATACTTTTCTTCTGTTAATTTTGTAGATTTATGGAACTGTGCTATAATTTTGGAACAGTTGTAGTTGACTAGATTTTAACTGTAGTTAACTGAAATTATGGGAAGTCCAGTTAAGAATGCCCAGGTATCAGTTGTCAAGATGAGTTCTGTGTTTCTCAAAAATACTGATGCATTTTAAAAAAGTGTTTTCAAAGCTGTGGTTTTTGTGGACTAAGAAACTGTATGAATCTACTTCATAGCATAGGTTTTTAATCCAGTGTTAACAATTATTTAAATGTATGAAAAAATACTCTTTAATTGGGCTAAGTAACTTGACAGTATTACCAAGATCATTGTTTATGATATCCTCCTATAGTTTACACAACATGTCAGTAGCTGGAAATGTTTGGTTTTGCATTTTTCTGAAATTCTACGTTTTGGGGTTGAGCAGTAACTTTTACAATCCTATATCTTCAGTAATCCATAATGAACAGCTTAGTAAGAATAAACTTAATTTTTCTGCGGCATTGGTTCCCAAACTGTTGTTGTTGATGTTTAGGTTTTTCTTGATTAGGAAGTTTTGCAAATGAGCAAAATACTCACTTACTATTTTTAGAATCATGCTGCAAATAACCTTTTTTTTTTTCCCAAAGGCTTCCTGTGCAGCGTTTGCATATCAATACTGCATTGTAGTGCTGTTGGATAGTAGCATGAAAGTCTAGCCTTTTTCACTATCAAACCTAAAAATAATGCAGCAAAAACATCCTTATGTGAAAAGCGTATTTTTACCTTTAATCAGTTTTATTTGTGTCAGTGCTTATCTCTTCGCTCTCCTTAAAAATCTGCAAGATATTTCTTCACGTTATTTTAATATTACCTCTGTTGCAGGTATTGCAGATATCAACCATTGCTGTTTACACTTCTGTTATAGCATTGCACTTAAACTGGCGTTTGGATTAATGGGTTTCTCTGTTCAAAAATTCTTGATGTCTGGTTCTTTTTAAGATACTAAAGAGTAAAAGCAGCA